TCGATTAGTCAGCCGTGGATGATCCATGTCTCACTACTCTTCCTAATTGCATTTGGTGTGGGTGGAATTAAGAGTTGTGTGAACGTCATGGGAGCTCAACAGTTCCATCCTGAGGAGCATAAAGATCTTATTACAAGGTATTACACCTATTTCTATGCTTCTATCAATCTTGGTTCTATTGTTGGTGGTATTGTTACTCCGATTTTGGTCGAATCGGTCTCTTTCACTGCAAGCTTTTCTTTCCCTTTAGTTGCCTTTATCATTGCAACGATTGTTTTCATTGGGGGTAACTTGATGGGTCGTTATGTCAAGCCCAAGCCTCAGGGATCTGCTGTATTGGAGATCCTTAAGGTACTCTTCTTTTCTATTACGAGGTGCTCCCTGGAAAAGAACAAGGAGTCCAATGGTGGTCGTTTCAAGGATGGTTTCATTGAGGATGCAAAGGCACTCTTCCGATTGGTGCCTTTATTTCTCTCATTATACCTTTCGTGATGGCTTACAATAACATGACGACAGCTTTCCTAACTCAAGGTAAAAAGATGGACACCAACCTGTTCGGATGGGAGATGCCGGCTCAGATGATGCAGAACGTGGATCCCATTGCCGTGGTTTTGACTAGTGTTTTGGTTGATACGGTGTTGTTCCCTTTTTTGAAGAGGCACAACCTAATGCCACCAGTTCTGGTACGTTTCTGCATTGGTTCATTGTGTGGCGCGGCGTCCCTACTCGTGGCTCTTGGTGTGGAGTATATGGTTATGTCGAAGCCTGTCTTCTCTGTCTCCATTTGGTGGCAGATTCCTCAGTTCTGGTTGATTGCTGCTGGTGAGATCTTCCTAATTTCGACTTCTTACGAAGTTGCATTCACCCATTCTCCGGGAGCATTGAAGGCAGTTGCTTCTGCATTCAACCTTTGCTTCTTCTCTATTTCTAATGTTCTCTCGGCTGTCCTTTTCCAACTATGCTCTGATTGGCTTCCTAATTTCGATGTTGAGAATCCAACCGAAGTATCTCTAGAAGCATCACGAAACTCCAAGATATCAATACCGCGATTACGACCAGGACGATTACGGTCACGAAATAGGCGAATAGACACAGGGGATACCCCAGAAAGCTTCAGAATAGTCTTGAGTGCATCAAGGACCTGCTTCTTACTAACATCATAACTCAGGTTGATCATGAACAGTCGACAATTATGAGCAGCCTCACTAGTATTCATAGCCGAATCAGCAGGCGGCGTAACCACTGGGTCGCTATCCATAACATCAACAGCGGCTTGACG